GTCTGAAAATTACTTCAAAATAACGTAGGACATAAGCAGATAGGTAGGGGTACAGAGGAAACAAGATTGAGCATAAGCTGGTAATTACTGAAATTGGCTATGGGTATGTGAGAATTCATTATACTATTTTGTCTACTCTTATATATATTTAAAATTTTCCACAATAAGAAGTTTAAGAACTCATGCTGAACAAGTAGGAAATAAAACTCTAAATTAAACTACCCAAACTTAATCAGTTTGATAGGCACTATTTTACCTGTATTTGTGAAAATGTAGTCATTTACTCAACAAATATTTGAGTGAATATGTATTAGGTACTGTGCTATGCACACAAAAAATTAAACAGTGGGGAAAAAAAAAAAAGAAAAACTTCTAGTCGCCATATCAAATCCCTAAAGTTGCTTAAACTAGTTGGGTATTAGCATATTAGATAACTAATAATGTGATAAGTGCTATAATAGTACTATGAGAAAAAGTACTGGGGAAGGACAAAAAAGGAATTAATTCATTGTGTTTATGAAAGGAAGTGAGTGTTAACAAAGATTTGCTAAGGAGAATGAAATTTGAAGACTCAATTTTTCAGCCAGTGGATAGAAAGTAGAGAGTGTTCAGGCATGCAAAGCAGGAAAAGTTGCATTGAGCAAAAACAAAAAGCCAAGCGAGAACGAGGAGTGTGTCGAGAATTGCAAGTAGCTATGGTGGCTCTAGTATGATGATGGGTCAGGGTAAAGGTAGGGCAAGGAATAAGGCCAGTAAGGTAACTAAGGTCACTAAGGTCATATTTTAAAGGGTCTTAAGTGGCAGACTAAGCAATCTGAACATAGTCAGAGGTCAATGAAAGTTTTAAAGCAGAGAACAGATTTAGTCAGATTTATTTACATTTTAGAAATATCACTCTGTTGGTAGTGTGAATGACAGCCTGAAGAATAAAAGGAGAGGCACAAAGAATATTCATTAGAAAGATGCGGGCTTGGACCAAAGAAACAGCAGTAGAAACTGAAAAAAGTAGGCAAAGACTTGAGAAGTACAATTAACAGGATTTACAGACTACAATGTGTAGAGGGGAGATATGAAGAATGAAAGACTCAAAGGTAAGAGCAAGGTTTTGAGAAGTAATGTTTTTCTTTAGAGCATGAAGTCCTGGTAAATAGTGATGGTATTAAGCAACACAGGGAACACATAAAGAAAAACTAAAGACAATAAATTCAATTTTGAATGTGTTGAATTTGAAGTACTACTAACATCCTATCTACTAGTAATTTTAGAATGTGGGTTTGTACTCAGGAGAGAAGATATGTTTGGGTGGCATCCGTATGTATGTCTTAAGAAATAGAAGAGACTACCCAGAAGGAGGTTATAGAATAGACAGGATACTCAGGATGTCCCAGGCTACCTCCAGTTGAGCCTTTAATGCACAAACCTCCAGCCTATTTTTTGTATTGTACCTTGTATTCATTTCTTTACTATTATTTAAAATATTTTTTACTTTTAAGAAATATATAGTCCCCAAACCACTTCTCATTTCCTTTTATTTCCTTATAAACCTAATGCTCAATAATGATCAAATAATGACCAAATCCAGCCTGTGGCTGTAATCCAAGAAGTCAAGGCAGGACTACCAGATCCAATCAATAAGTGAAACAGAAACTGGGCCAACCTGTGTAACACCAGGCTACTTCTTGAGTATTAGAGGCTAAGATGCACCAATATGAGACATCAAGTAAATTATATTAGTTAAAATATTTCACAAAACTTGATAAGCAATATGCCAAGTTACTCACCAGGCCTTTGATCCTGTTCCAGTGCACAAATTGAGCCCTGAACTCTTCTGTTTTTCCCATGGACCATCATCAACTGAAATCTCATAGTAGGAAGCCCTATGAATTGAGAATATAAAACTGTGTTTGCTGAGCTTATGGTTCAAGGTAAATAAGACAAACATAGTCTTCTTCAGAACTAATGAAATCTAAGTAAGTCAAGCTTGACCAAGAAATATCTGGCTTAGTAAGCACACACATCATGGTGCTAATTCCAATATTGATTAAGTGAAAAAGTTAGAAGGAAAAAAATTTCTGCATGTCTACATGCCTTTCTGATCTATATGCTCCTTTCTATCAATACTTTCGTATTTCAAATAGGGGCTTCTTGCAAATTTTTACCTAGCATTGCTGCTACAGCCCTTATGGAGTCTAACACATACAGAGCCTCATTTCAGAATCCAAAAAAAAGAAAATATCATTCTTAAGTTAGTTTCATTCTTGGTAGCCAGGCCTTGATATAGCTAAATCTGTATCTAATTCTTCAAGTTACCAATGGTTTCTGCTAGATTCTTGTTGCTTAAATTATATGTAACTTTTGAATTGGTGTAAACTAACAGATTAGATAATAAAGCCGTAAAGAAAATTCTCAACCAGTACTGGGTTAGTGGACAAAACTAAGAATAAAATTAGAACTATAATTTCTTAAGACATTTACATTTCTTAGAATATTTCATAAATATGAAATCAAATAGGTTTTCTAAAAC